CCCCTCCCACTCTCCAGGCCAGCTCCCTTCTCCTTACTAGTGACTTGCCAACTGCAGCTAAATGTGCAAACAGAGCCAACTGTGGGTTCCCGTGTGCAAGCCACTGCCCATCTTGCCCCAGGCTGGATGGTAACTGTAAGTCTGACCCGGGCTGAAGGGCACTCCACTGCCCCTCTCGGCCCTCCCTTCAGCCCCCAACGTGCAAAGGAGTGCCATCACTTCCATTAACAGGTGGCACTCTCTCTCTCTCTCTCTCTCTCTCTCTTGCTTCTAGATGATACCGACACGACTTTTGTCTTCATAACAGCTGGGCTGCTGTTGGTCATGCTGATCATCCTGGTCTTCTGCTTCCAGAAGAGCAAGCGGTGAGCCTCAGCAGCAGTGGGACATGGCCGCAGAATGGCTGCTTCCAAGCTGAGCACCAGAGGGGCCCAGAAGAGACACAGCCAGGACATGGGGCAGGATGAGAGGGACAAAGCCAGGCAGATGGGGAGGGGGGCTGGGGGGCTGGCACACAAGAAGCCGAGGGAGAATCAAGTGGCACTGGAGGAGGAGGAGGAGGAAGCAGACAGGCAAAGGGCCAGCTTTTGGGGGGGGGTGGAGGCTGTCCTGCCCAGAAGGCTGATGGCAACTAGATGGAGTCATCGCGGCCAACAACTTCCACACCCACTTCTTGGCCCCCAAGATTTGTCTCATTGCAGAATATTCTCTCTCTCTGGTGGGGAGGGATGCATGATTTGCAGGTGTGGGGAAAAGACACGGAGGGGGGGGAATAAGAGAAAATCAGAAGCGATAGTGAGGAAGAGTACGAAAAGGGAAGCAGAGAAGGGCAGGAGAGAAGGATGGAGCTTCAAGGAGGATGCAGAACATGGCCAGGAACTGACACTGTGACTTGGCGGGAATCTGGGAAGCCCATTCCCTCAGACTCACCAGCATCCTCTCCCATGTGATCCACAGGATGAAGACGCAGTTTTGGCCCAGCGTTCCTGATCCGGCCAACAGCAGCCTGGGCAAATGGGCCCCAGCAGTTCTGCAAGAGGTAACGAAGAGAGGGGCACCACCGTGCCACCACTGATGCCACTACCCATTCTGGCCTTGGTAGACCAGCATTTCCTCCCACGTAGACCTCCCTTTCAGATGCCTCTCGTGCACAGGAACGTGGCCCACGCTGGCTCTATGCAGGCAGCTGGCGCACACGCGGTCCCTCCGCGGTGCAGCCACCACAGCTAGAACTCCTTCCAGGTTTGACTCAGAAGCGTGACAGCACCAGGCTGGAGAGGTGGAGGGAAAGGGGCCTTGCGTAGCAGCGTTTGGCTTTGCCAGTCAAGACCAACGGAAGCCTCTGGTCTTCATGGCTGGCCGTGATAGTGAGAAGAGCAAAGCTTCCTCTGGAGAGGCAGTCTACCTCTGACTGCAGGAGCTCAGGATTCAAGGGGAATGGGGAGTGAAGAGACCCACGGAGGTGTGGGGAGCCTCCCCGATGGCCTTGAGCCCGGCTGATGCTCGGCTGCTCTGCCCCACCCTATGCTTACCCGACGGAGTCCTCCCTCCCGGCGTGGCTGCTCACCCTGCCTCTCCTTCCCACCCTTTGCTTCCCCAGGAGACGGCCCCGCCACCCCCGCCGCTCAAGCCCTGCGAGCTCAGCCCGGTCGTCGTTTCTGCCGTCCTGGTGATTGAAACGGACGAGAAGAAATGCCTTTCGTGCGGGAAGACCGAGCCCGGGAAGGCCCTGGAGGACGGGCCCACCACTTTCCACATCTCTTACGTCCACGATGCCGACGCCACGGCTCTGCTCAACGGAAGCCTGCCGCCCGCCTCCTACGTGAACAGCCCGGAGTCCGTCCAGTATGCCAAAGTGGTGGGGGACAGCTACCGCCGCCAACCGCAAGCCAACGTGCCCACTTTCTACATGCGCTCCGACTCCACGCAGCCGCTGCTGGGCGAGCCCACACCCAGCCCCAAGCTGTACGAGAACCTGTGGTTCCGCAACGACCAGCCGGATGCCGAGAGGGGCTCCAGCTTTCAGGAGGAGGCCGTCTTCCTGGAAAGGACCCTGCTGGATTTCCCGTTACTGCAGGGCCTCAGAATCGACGGGGGTGAAGACCTGGGCAACTTTCGGCGGCTGTAGCCCCCCCCCAAGTGCGGGGATCTTGGAGGGCTGCCTGGGGGAGCGGCCGCCCGCTGAGGTTCTCCTCTTCTGTAGAGAAAGCAGGGCCCCAGTGCTTGGCCAAGCACCCTCCTGGTTGCCCTCCCGGGCGAGGAGATGGGAAAGCCACTGAACTTGGGCTTTCCGACACCAGGGTGATTCCCTTTCCTCTTGGTCATGGTGAGCCAGGATTGTCAGAAAACGCAAGCCCCCCCCCTTGGGCCCCTCCTGCTTTCCTGCAGCCCCTTTTCACAGCAGTCATCTTCCAGCTCAAACCAAGCTGATGAACTTGTATTGTGCCACTTGCTGCTACTCGGAGTAGGTACCCAACTGGGGTGACCCACCACCCTTCTTACACTTACGCAGCCTCGGAATATGCCTATGTACAACCCCCGCACAGGCCGGCATCATTTCTGCTGCTTACGGAGCCTGCCGGGAGGCCAGTCCCTCTAAACAAGTTCCTGCAGGAGTCTGGCTCCGTGTGCAGGAAGCTGGTGCTGGGACTGGACACCAGGAGCCGCCCACGTTAGTTCTAACAAGAAAAATGGAAGGATCAGGCAGGCTGAAGCTCAACTGGTATTCAGTCAGGAGGGTTTTTTCTGCCCTTTGTTACAGCAGAGGGAGATTTTCAAGCTAATAAACTGAATTCTGCAATGGCAGTTTTCCTTCTTTGGTGCTAGAGTTGCCTACCCAACCATTTAAATCACAAGTGGTCTATACACCTAAATCAGGGCAGAGCTGAGTTGCAGGAACGTATCTCTGGGCCAATCTAATGGTGTCCTTTATTCCGTTTCCTTCAGGATCTGTTTGGACAAGGGAAGGGAAACAAGGATGTTCTCTTTTCCCCCCCACCATTTCCAGCAACAACAAAGTCAAAGGGTGTGTGTGTGAAGAGCAGGCAGGAAACACTGTTGTTTGTTCAAAGTATTTTTTTTCTCCACTGCTGCTGTTATTTATCGTATACATAGAATGTTGCAAAATAAAAGGTGCTTCGTAGCAATTCGTGTTTTGTTCCACACCCAGATTTTCACAGTATGTAGTTCTTGATAAGTAAAAACTTGTGTTTAAAAGCATTTTGCACATTCCAAATGAGAAAACATTTTGACTGAGTGTTTTTCCTGTTTCTCCAAGGCTTATGATCCCCCCCCCCCGGAAGTACTGAATATTTGTTGGGGCGGGGGGACAGGGCAAAGAAAAATGGTGACTTCCTTCCTTCCTTCCTTCCTTCCTTTCCCGGCTCCTGTTCCCCAAGCACCAGGTTCCACATCTCCTTCTTAGCATGCAAAAGATTCCTGGTTTTAGTGTCCAGTATTTCCAAGTGATGGATTCCACAAGCTAGAGCTGAGCAAGTCCCCACCTGTTAAAATACAGGGAGGGCAAAAAGATGCCATGGGCAATCGGTCAAGAGCAGACTTTGAAAGCACAAATCCAGAATAAATTTGCAACAAGAAGAATTTCAGAGAGTAGGTGATGGGAGACACTTCTCATTGTCCAGAGGCTCTGGACAGAACCTGCCAGTCCCAGTTGCTAAACAAGGTGCACAGAAAGTGCAGGCCCTGTTTTAAAGCTGAATCCCACTTAAGGGAGGCTTCCAGAAACGCTTCAAGCGTGGCTTTCCATTGCCACCCAATACCCCCAGGACGTTTCCACAGCTGAGCAGGGATTGCAACCCAAACGCCCTGAGCCCAAGCATGACCCCCTATCAGTACAGGATGATGGCTCTCTTCAGAAACCCCGTTCAGGATAAAAACAAGGTGTGCACCTTGCACAACCGTGCTTTTAAGGCAGGTTGTAGCTTTTCTGCGGTTGCCACATCAGATTTCAGTGTCGTGATGGCTACAGAAAAACTAGGCGGGGAGGCTGCCTTTGTAGAAGTCCAAGATCATATCTGGCAGGCTGGGTAGTCTACCAACATTTCCCCTCAGGCCAAAGTAAGTTAGGGTTGTTGCCTAAAACGACGTGACTTTGTTTTTTAAAAAGACTGTAAAAATGCAGACCGCGGACACCATGCTGCCTTGTACTCCTGGGAGGCAGCAGAAACAGGGCTCGGAAACAGAGAGGCCTCCCCAGCTGTTTCCACGGGAGCGCCAGTATTCAGCCACGCGGCTATGCCACCGTCTAGAGAGCCATCCCACAAGAGGCAGGGCCGCCAGGAATATGCCAGGGAGCCCTTCTCTCTCTTGGAAAGCCACCTCCTTGGCCAACGCTGGGTCCAGTCTCCTGGGTCCAGGAGCCGCCGACCCGCTCCAAGGAAAGGTCACAGGCTCCAGAAAGGTTGCCTGAACGTGGTCACCGCTGGCCCAGATTGTGAGCATCGCTCGGGGGAGGGGGGCGGGGAACTGTCCTCCCTAGCAGGGCTGCTGGGAAGGTGCGAGGGAGGGGCCAGCCAGATGCAGCTCATCCTTCAACCAACAAAAGACGGCAGGTTATGATTATGAATTGCTAACCGTTACACTGGTTGCTGCCCACAGTTGTTACTGGAGTAGCTCGTTCTTGTTTCTTGGA